GTTGAGGTGTTGGAGCCGGATTTCCAGTCGTCAAACAAGCTACACTGGCAGATCATCCGCCGGTGCGAGGTGAAAAGAAAACTAAACTAAACGTACGGAAGATAGGTCTGAACACTTTCTTACCGAGGAAGAGAACATTCTTCGGTGACTGAGAGAGTACCGTGAGAAACTCTTCAACTCCAAACGACTGCGGAAAGACTCGCGTTTAGAGCAGCACAGAATAGTTATTAATATTTCTGCAGATGAAATCACACATGCTTTGAAAAGCTTGAGGTGTGGAAGGCTGCTGGATTTAATGAAATCCGCCCTGAAATGCTCAAGGCAATAGGTGGACAACCTATCAAACTGCAATAGCTACGGGAAGACATCAGCAGACCAGAGAATTAAGGCTATAATACTTCTGTTCAAAAAGGTAGTTTACAGGTAGTTAGTGCTCTAATTATCGTGGCACTGCCTTATTGATCCTCCGGGGTAAAGTCTACGCGAAGGTGTTAGGTAGAACGCGCCTCGCAATGACTAACTCCATGATTCAAGACGAGCAAAGGGGCTTCTGACCGGATATTCGTCCTACGCCAGAATGTTGAGAAACGGTTGGAGCTAGCCTATCAGGTGTGTATGTGTTGTATGGAGAGATTGCCCATAATCAGATCCTGCGTAACAATTCATGACCATATTTGCGAACACATGGGATCGATGGCCAGTTGCTATGGGTTATCTAATCACTATATTTTGATAACAGCTACTGCGACAGAGTAAATGGCATTAAATCAAAGCTTTTCAGCGTTAGCACTGGTATTTCCTCTAAGACTATATTCTGTTTGCGCTTCTGTTTGTGTTGTACAGTGGTTGAATAGTCAGGCGCAGCCAAGGCAACGAGCGTGTCAACGTACGACATGTCAAGACTAGATAGCTGCTGTTTGCAGGTGATCTTGTTTTGTTGACATCTTCTGAAACTGATCGCCTGTGCTCCGTCTGTGCGTTCGTAACAGAGTGCTCCGTGATCGGCATTCGTGTGAACGTATTTAAAACGGAAAGTATGTTGCCCCCTCAATCTCCTGCCCATTGCTGTCTTCAGAAAAACGGAGAATCAATGGAACAGGTGGAGAAGTTCTAGTTCTTTAAAGCCAAATTCCTGGTAATGGAAAATACAAAGAAAAAATCTACCGACGGATTGAGATAGCCGTGAACCACCCCAAACAGCTTTGACTAGTGCACAACTGAGTCTAAACGCTATGTTCTCGGTGTTCAGGCCCCGGGTTTGAGACGTGGGTCTTGACTGTAAAACTTCGATTCCGAGTTCAAGTGGTTGAAATAGGTTGTCTGAGACGAATCGCTGGCCTCATGCGTCTCGACAGGGTCCGGAGTTCGGTGATCCGAGAGAGCTATCGGGTGCAACCGCTGCTTCTTCAGAATGAGAAATCAGAGTTGCGATGGTTTGGACGTGTGTTCCGAATGCCTATAGAAAGGAAGGTGAAGAAAGTACTACTTGCCCCGGTGATTGGCTGAAGTTCCAGGGCACATAGAGGATTTGGCCGGGGCAAGTGTATTGATAAAGTGTTCTCTCGACTCCGGTTGTCTTCTGCCGAAACTCTGACGCTTTCACAAGATCGGGAACGTTAGAAGCACTTCCTGTCGTAACTGCCCCCGTGATCCGAAAC